ACACAGACAAAAGGCGGGCCGTTTTCCACCTGAAAGGCAGTAGCGCTGATGGCTTAGGCCTAAATGCCCAAACCGCGGAAGGTTCACGACCGGACATGTCGACACATCCATGACGATCAAGCGTTTTCACATGGGTCCATATCTTTTGTTGAATGTGATGTGTCGCCACGTCGGCCATGGAAAAATGTCACCAACACATCGGCGACAACCCCTATCGAAGGCTGTCGGTTGAGCAGCTCGCCATAGTGGATCTTCCATTCCAAGCGGCGCCAAACAGCAGCACCATGCTCATCAGTCAACCGCACATAGGAACTCCTCAGCGGGAATTCCGCCTCTTCAAACCGGGGCTTTGGCAATCTCAGGGCTTTGGTGTGTCGTGCAACGTGCACACCAGTACCGTCGATCATGCGCCACCCAGTTTTCTCACAGAGGGTCTGCAGATGACCCAGCATAGGGTCGCCAGCCATCACTGGAGCGCCAACCAAATCACCTCGCATGCTAGCCGCAGGCTTGCGAGAGAGGGCTTCTTGGTCACTTGCTTCAGGAAGGAGGGGTGGTATTTGGCGCACCACTTGCCAGCTGCTATGATCTTGTGGACATGCTCCAAGGACATTTCCTTAGTTCCAGCATCGACCCACATGTTCTCTGCGCTGGTCCAACGAAGTGCCGTGTTGGGCCTCCTCAGGGTTGCTCTCAACCATGCTACCGTGAAAGCCAGACTCTTCTGACTCCCATAGCTTGGAGTGTCACTGTTCCCCTTGTCAAAAACGTTCCGTGACTGCAGTCAAGGGGACGTGGTCAATGACAGCATCAATGGGGCGCTGACTCATATCTCGCTTCAGCCACCACACCTCGGGTGTATTGGACTGAATCCATGGCTTCTTCAAGGCGTCTGCGCATTTTCGATGTAGAGCTCACGTTCACCAGGTTGGAAGTACTCGCCCTTGAGAAAAGCGCTTTTGATGTCTGCGCTCCACAATTTCCAGGACATGAAGCCGTTGCGGCATCCTTCCACACTTCATAGGCTCCAGGGTCTTTGAAACCCGGGACAACTAAATCTTGCATTGGCTCGAAGAGGAAGCATGTTGGCCTCAGTGCGAACTGAATCATTCTTATCGGTGAGGACATATCCGGGCCGCATGACCTTGGCGTGAAATTGCCCTTCACGATGAAGTCAGCCTTTTACTCTCTGAGCTTCATCTTCACTCAAGACTTCCACTGCATCATTGTCCTTCCAGACGTTCCATCCTGCCTCCATAGCAACTTTGAAAGCAGCTTTGGCCTCATCGGTCAACTCTCGCCAACGATACTCTTTGCGAGCAGTGAGGACAGCGAGAACTTCTTGTTCACCTTTGGGCCATGTCAAACGAAGTTGCCGTCGACCTTGCCATTCGCTCCTGCTAGGAAGCGGCCAGTTGCCACGCCAAGTGCTGTGGTCAAAGACAATGGCATTCTCAGGGTCCAACGGTCATGAGCTGCCTTCTCATAGATCCATTTCAAAGGGTGCACTCCACCATAGTTGAACTCATCCTCAAAGCACTCAACAGTCGCTTGGTCCATCGCCAAAGTCTCACGAAGTGGACCGCCAGGTGGAGGGGGAATCTCAGATTCATCCAGAGTGCTCAAAGGAACATCTGCAGCACGCTTGCGACTTTCGCCACTGTGAGCGCTTTGCACTTCTTCATCTACATTTCTCGCACGCTCCATGAGGCGCTCCAAGCCAGGAGACATACTCGGTGAGGAAGGAACCTGACTTGCTCGAAGGACCACAGATGTTCCAGGTGCTGGTGCGCCAGTCTGCGCACTGCCAGGTTGCATGGTCCCAGATCCCATAAGCTCCTCCGTGACAAAGCAACGACAGAACCCTGTCTTGAAGGTTGCATAGCTGCCACCAATTCCTGAGGTTGAACAGGAGGGAGGTCTGAAAAGGAAGGTGTCCGTTCTTGTAGAGGGTGTTCTTCAGAAGGCTGTTGGACGGCATCAGATTGTTGCATCCCTTCACGAGTCAAATCATGCATAGCTGCCTGAACGACATCATCAATGGCGTCTCAAGTGCCGGATGCAATCTGCTCCAAACTGCTTGCTGGCCGCACGAGTTCTCTGGCACATTTGGTCATCTGACCCTTGTGGCAAACAAAGACATTGGTGTCACCCTCCAAGGCCAGGACTAAGGCTGGTCCATGCCAACAAGCTTCCGACGAGAAGGTGCTGTCCGGCTATTGTTGCGAAAGAAGTAGACAATCTGTCCAGGGGTGATCTCCTCCACAATGGTCGGGTTGCGAGACCGTGCCAATTCAGCTCAAGCCACGGGAGAAGTGCAACCGCAACATCGCCACTTTGGCCGTCTCGCGAATTGCGATCTGCCGAACCAAGGAAGGTGAGGAATCCAGCAAACGTTGTCGAACATCACCCAAAACATCACCATGCATCCTGGGCTGATGCCCGAAGGCAGCTTGAGCTGGAGATACACCTGCTTCAGAGTATAGTGAAGACCGGTATGTATGGCCTGAGTCGCTTGTCGAATGGCAGAGTCAAGTCCGCGAATCTGTACCTGAAGGTGGGGCGATGTGACACAATCCAAAAAGGTGGGAGAGAGGATGGCAAGTCGAGTACGAAGTAGGGAAGTAGTGAGGTCCAACAATGCATGTACGTGAAGAATCTCACGATGTAGAATGGCCTGAGCCCGCATCGGCATGCCTTCCATTGGAGCAAGACCGGCAGGAGAAGAGGACATGGCAGGAGGAAAAGAGCTCATCACTGGAGTACTAAGGCTCGCACAGGTTCCAATGAACCTTGAACAAACTTCGGTCGCTGCGACCACGTACGGCATGCCCGAGGGCGGCCACCTCTGACCGCTGCGGTCACGTAAAGGCATGAGCCAACTTGGAATTCCAAAAATGAGACAAACATCCCACTTCTTGTGGCATAAGCCATCTGCTGTCCGCTACGGACACTTACATCTCTGGGCAGGGGAGATAACGACAAACCCCCGTTCGACGGGTCCACGGGAGGCACTCTACGGGCTCATCCCGGGTTGGCACGAGGCGAAACACACTTATGGAAATGCGTACTGACTTGACAGCGGTGCCACACGCCGGCCTAGGTTACCATTTCCTAAGGGTACAGGTAGACCAAACCAATAGCATCGACGATCACGCGACAGGTTGACGACGTGCGTGCAGGACTGCCTCGTGTTTTGGTGGCAGACCAGGGCAAGGAGTTCACTTCGTGGTCTTTTGAGTCCCTGTGCTCCCGCTTTGGCATCTTACTTTGGCATTGTGCTGTTCAAGCGCCTTGGCAAAACGGTGTCTGTGAGCGAGCGGGCGGTGCTCCAAAAAAAAAGGGAACCAACGTTTCTGCAGGAAGCGTTCCACAGAAGCTGAGGACTTGTCGTCCAGGACTTCAGCCATTTGAAACCTGCTCGCCCAGTCGATGATGTGGACGATGTAGTAGCGAGTGCCAGCGGAGTCAAATGCCTCGAAGAGGTCCACGTGCACCTGGTCATTGATGTCTTTTGGCATTGGCAGTGAAGCAGGTCTGCTAGCTTTTAGAGGTTTTCTTTCCTGACAAACGGCACACTTGAGCCGTTTTGCACATGCCACCACTTGCGCAGGAGCACCAGCAACCAGAAGAGCTCGAGCTAAGCGCTTGTTGCTACGGTGGCCAGTGTTGATGTGCAGCTTCTCAACCATCTGCTTCACATTTGCAGGAATCTTGGAGGTCGATTCATCATGCTTGAACTCATCGTCACCATCAGACCTATCGGCCATCAAAGGGACCGGGTCGTCCTCCACAGTGACATCCTCGGTGGCCGTGACTTCCTTTGCAACTCGAGAGGTCTTGCCGAAGTCTTTCTCAAACTGTCTTTCCATGCCCCGAAGGAAGACCCTTGCCAAAGCAACAGGGTAGTGTCCTGCGGGTTCTGTGACTTTTGACCCACCAAATCGTGTAGATGGTCACGTCGGCATCGACAGTCTCGTAACTCTCCAGCTACTTCCAAGGAGCTGGTAGCCAATCGACTTGGCTTCTTGTGGAGTCCTCCAAGATAGCCCCGAAGGTTGAACCTGCACTGATCGAAGGAGACGTAAGCCATCTCCTCCTCAATGAACTTTTTCATGATCTCCTCACGCCAGGCCTCAGACCCCACGAGATTCTCCAGGAGGTAGTGTTGGCCTTCGGCACGTTGAAGCTGTGCCAATTGCAAGGCGAAGGCTAGCAACACTCTGGCTTCTGCTCGGCGTTGAGGATGGCAGGGTAGAACTCTTTGACAACCGTTGCAGAGGTGACCAAGGGCCACAAGGAAAAGCAAGCGCAAGGAAATAAGGCTTCTCCTCACGAACACGTTGCCGAGCAGTTCAGGTTGAAGAAAGTCCCAACCTGATTCCAAGGAGAGCGAACTACCTGCACGATGACCACGTCGGAGTGCTTCCTTACGTACATGCTCAACGGTCGTGTAAATCTCCTTCACCATAGTTCCACGTGGTGCAAAGGTAGCTTTCATCACCAAGGTTTCATTCATGTTCTTGCGCATGTCAGTCTCCCATTGGGCTTCCATCATTTCAAGGACCTGCTTCGGAGACTTGGAAATCAAAGCGCGCTCCTTCTCATGTTTCAGCCAAGCGTCAGCGATCATCTTGGCGTGCCCAGTCTTCAGGTTTTGGTCCAGCCGCCAAGGGTTCTCCTTTGTCTCATGCGAATTCATCGCTGACTCTCCAGTCCCCAATGGATCTCGGCCTCGGTCTCCTTGAGGTAGGTTTCTTCCTGCTGACTGAAAACACGTAATTGCTCTGGCGTCATGTCTGCAGGGTACATTGGAACCTCCGGACCGCTGGGATCTGAAAGATCGTTCATTGCTCCAAGCTGTTGAGGCTGCATGTTCATCATGCGCTGCATCACTTGGGACAACGTAGCTTGGAAGCGCTGATCCTGCTGGGCCATGATCTCGTGAACTTCTTGGGCAGTGATGCCTGGAGATTCCGGACTGGTCACCAAAGAAGTCGCTGGAGAGGACCTGCTGGAAGATTTTGCTGTGTCCAGGTGAGGGGAGGCAGGTCCTTTGGCGATGACATCGTTCAACACCGGGCGAATCAGCGTCTTCAGCTGGTCCACGGTGACCTTGACAGGAGGATTGATTTCGAGCAAGGCCGCGAGCTTCAAGAGGTCTGCTCGCAAGGTGGGCAGCCCACCTCTTGGTCCGATGAGTTGACTGCTTCCACTTGCTTGCCTGCTTCGATCTCCTTCTTCGCATCCTTTTGAGCCTCCACCAAAGCTTCTCGTTTCAACTTGGATGCCAAACCTTTGCCCGCACGAGCTGCCAGCATGCCAGTCAGGAGAGGGTCCTCGAGGAAGGCGCAACGGACGCCCAGTCGGTTCTGAACGTTCATGGCCTTCAAATCTCTCACCCTCTGCCCATGTCGCTTGGGCCAACTGCCCATAGCCATCAGCGAATACAGCTGTTCTTCCCACATCTTGATGGTGCCTACCGATGGGTAGGGCAGTGGAACGTACAGGAGTGAGGCACGCTGCAATAACCAAAGCCAGACTCCCCAAGCATGCCAGCGAAAGCGACCTGGCGACGAAGCGTCGCCACCGGCCGCTCACTTGAGCTGTGAGGTCGAAAAGATCGCCGGCTTGGACTCCATCTTGAGGTGAGGAGCGCTGCTGCTTCTTGGCTTGTAGAAGAGCTCGAAGTCGACCGTTTTGCGTCTTACAGAAGCCAACCGGGGAGCACGAAGGTGAAGTCGTCGATGAAGATGCAAGCTCAGGTGCTTGAGCCATCCTATGAGCCACATGCGACAGGTCATCGACGCTCAGGCCGGAGTGCAAAACATTGGCTGCCATGAAACTGCTCTGTCACCATGCGCTCGTGCGCTCCGACAAAACTCTTCTTACCAAAATCTAGCTTGCATTGCAACGATTTATTTGAAGACATCTGAAATTCAAGAACACCATCTTGACCAAACGTCCGCCACCGTGTCCGGCCTGGTGTAGGCCAGGCGGCTGGGGCGATCGCCAGGGCAGAATGACCTGCAGCCAGTTGTCGAAGGGCGATGACATCACCGTCCAAATACTCAGCGATCAACTCTTTCGAACGGAAATTCAGAACAGCACCAATACCATCCAAAAAATCACGCCCCAGGAGTAGACCCAGACTGGGAACTTCAACCACAGAAACCCAAACGACCACCAGGTTGTTGCCCACCACCATAGGTAAACGAACCCGACGTTGACTTTGCTGAACTCCTCCATTGCCGAATCTGAAAAATTCCTTCTCTGGTTGTTCTTTGAGGAGGGACTGAATGGAGGAAGGCGCATCTTTCAGCTTGACAAGGTTGGACTCCAGCCAAAGAGACCCTGCGCAAGTACGATTGCAGGCTGAATCAAGTGCACCGACGAGCTTTTTGTCCTGGGCCAAAAGCGGTGATGCGGCCATCGACACTTCTTGGTAACCATTCAGGGCTGCTTCCAAAGGCACTGGACTGCCTTCTCCTTCTTCAACGGCCAAGGTCTCAGTGATCTTGCAAGCTTGGGATCTTTGGTCGGCTTCTTTCCGGTCTTTCTTTGGCTTGAAGAGGCCTTGACCGGGCTTCAAACATCCAGGATCGCCGGCCCAATGGCCATGTTCACCACAATCCAAACAAGGCGTCTTCGCCTTCTTGTGAGCAACTTGGTTTCTGGTCATCTTGGACTTGGGGGAGGCTGAATGCGAAGAGCCTTTTCCGCCAAAGCCTCTATCTTTCTTGATCTCATTGATCTTGGTGCGCGCCTCGCGCATGGTGATGAGCGATTCAGCTGCCCGCTCAACACCTTCCTCCAGGGACTCAAGGACGGCAGGGTCAACTTCGCCGGTCTCCTCAAGCTCCTGAAGCTCAGCTGCTAAGACCTCCGCCTCGTTCTGGATGATGTCCTCGAGGTTTGAGGCAACTTGAACTTCGTTGGAAGGTTCCAACTCTTCGTCGTCCTCTTCAAACTCTGCCTCGTACTCCTCAACCGGGGCCTCAGCAACATAGGCCTGTCTTTGGAAAGGCCTTCGAAAAGGCGGCGCTTTGCTGCTTGCGCCGCTTGAACTGCTCCGGAAGGTCCGGTTGGTAACAACTGAACTCGCACTGGACGGCAAGGAGGGTCGTGTGGAGCTTTGTGAGGTAGGTTGTGACAAGAAACGCTGCAACAAAGGAGCACGACCCTCAACAGCACGACGGTGGAGTGGATACGACAAGTGAAGCTCTCGGAAAAGTCTGAGGGATTCCGCTTCAACATCATCGTAGCTGTCTCGAGTTCCAAGGGCGGTCTCCAGGAGTTGCATCCTGATTGGATCTAAACCCAATCTATCTTTCAAAAACCAACCAAGCTCGCCGCTAGGCAACTTAATGCCCTCACGGCCCAAGTCCGCCACCAAGGTGCGGTAGCGAGTGCAGAAGGTCGCAATCTGCTCTCCAGGTGCTCGTCGAATGTCCTGGTAGAACAACTTGCGTAGCTCGCCACGCTTGTCCAACTCAAGTCTTGCCCATTGATTCCTCAAGAACCTCCAGGAGCTTTCGCAAACCAAAAAAGGGGTCGGCCTCCTCGATGGTCATCTCCTCTCCGCTCTGTGGGTCAGTCATCGTGACTGCTGCCTTGCCCATCAGTTCATCGGGCTCAAACTCCTCGCATCTGGCCCTCACCACTCCGCTCTGGCGGAGAGTCCACCGACGGAGACGTTGAACTTTCGGCAAGCATCAGGGTCAAGGCTTGCCATCCACCATGCCATCTCCCTTTTGAAGGCTCTGAAGGTGGCAGGTGAACCATCCCATGTAGGTACTTTGTACCATGCGCTTGTGCCCTTTCCATCCTCTTCGTCCGCTTCCCAAAATGGGGTATGCAAAAGGTGCTCAGGTAATTGCCCTACTTCTTCCTAAGGAAAGCCAGGAAATACTCAAACACGTTGGGGTGCCGGCCTAGATGCCGTCAAGGTCGTGAAACTGGAGGAGCACTGCCAACTGTCGGCCGCGTGGCCAAGAAAAGGCAAGGTTCCAACAACAAGCGGAGAGGTCGAAGCGAAGCAGGAAGGCGGAGTGCACAGCAAAGCTCAACCCGAAAGGTCCGGCAGGGACCAAAGCAAAGCAACTCAGGCTCCGGTGCCACTATGAAAGTGCCATGCAACGACACAGACAAAAGGCGGACCGTTTTCCACCTGAAAGGCAGTAGCGCTAATGGCTTAGGCCTAAATGCCCAAACCGCGGAAGGTTCACGACCGGACATGTCGACACATCCATGACGATCAAGCGTTTTCACAAAGACATGTGATATCTATTTTGCTTTATTGTATCTAAATTTCTTACCATCTATGATTATTTGCTTTATTTTTTTCTTCCTCTCTTAGGTATTTCTGCTAAATCATTATGTAATACAGCTTCTATAACTTGTTTCATCATATAATACTCCATATATTTTATTAAGTCATTTAATCTTTAAGTAGTTTTTATGTGAATGATACTTTTTTCTTTGAATTTGTCTGTATTTAGGTCTTCTGTTTTGTTCTTTGTATTGTTGGTTTGTTGTTATGTTCTTTCTGGGAAGTGTTTGATAAGAATTCTGAGGAAATACTTTTAAGAAAATGATATCTTATATTTTGATGGAGAGATTTTGTAGATATTGTGTCAAAGATTTATATACCTATTGATAATTTTGAAGAAGGGCTTAAAACTTGTAAAAAATGTTTAGAATACAACAGAGCAAACGTGATAAACATAGAGATAAAGTAAATGAAGCACAAAGAAACAGATATGAAAAAGATGGAGAATATAGAACAAATAAACTGGAACAAAACCATAATTTAATCTAAAAACCATTACCTGTTCTGTTTGTAATTGTTCAATAAGGCAACAACGTTACTCAATACATCTTAAACAAATAAGCATCAAAGAAATTTAGGCAATGGTCAGTAGATAGGACTTGATAAAAATGAATAAGGTAATGATGCTTTGACTGCATTGATTTTATAAATTGAATATAATAAGGTCATGATGCTTTGACTGCTTTGATTTTGTAAATTGAATGAGGTAATGATGCTTTGACTGCTTTGATTTTGATATGGTTGATTAAAATGAAGAAATGAATCAACCATATTAAAAATCTGGTTTCATCCTGTTTCATTTTATTTTCAAAAACTTCACTCAATCAACTTGTTTAACATTTTTCCCCCCCCCACCCCTTTACTCACTTCGTTCGCGCCTCAACCTCAAGCCTTGGCTTTCGTGATACATAAATTAGTTACTTTACTATATATATGACTTTATTGCTTCCTTTGTTTCATGTTGTTTGAGCTGTACTGGGGCAAGTGCCCTTATGTGTACATGTATGCATGCTGGCAGCCGTACTGGCATCTGGAACAGAAAACTACGACAAACCTCCAGCCTTGCGGTAGTGGCTGATGATCTGTGCATCGCCTTTGCAGCAGCAAAAGCCGCAAGCTGTCCCACTAACCGCTCAGAGGACACAAAGAAACGTGCTTGCAGCAAAACATTTTTTTTGGGTATATGGCTGTTCCTACTTAATTAAGCAGGCGCCTACTTAATAAAGCAAAGGAGTAGTTAGCTACTAGCAGCGCCTACCTACTGGACGCAGGATAGCTCACGCTCGCACTAATCATTTGGC